TACGCATAGCTAGATGAAGCCTAAGCTTAAACTTCAGCTACCAGGCTAACCGTAAAGTTTTTGCACAGGCTGGCATTTTGGAATGGGACCAGGCCTATCTTATGCAGAGTTTCTCGCTGATTCCGAATCTGTTTTCCAAATTTGCTGCCGACCTGGATTGAAAAGGCCATTCGAGAGGAAAATTAGGCTTTAAAATGGCAGAAATTCGATGGCTGGCCCACAATTCCCTGCTTGGATCGCGGACCGGCAGTGAGTATGATCTACCCTACTCGAGCCCACTGCCGAGTTGCCACATGTGCATTGAGAAAGTGTCCGCTTGCCAAGCACTAGGCGGCGGTTCGAACCCCGCCCTGCACAATTTCTTTTGCTTTTTGGACAAAAACACATATATTTTGCATGAAATCATGGTTTGACCTCTGAAACCGGTATTGAGCCAGTTTGAACGATGATAAGATGACGGCAACTTAAAAATTACCCCAAAAATCCAGAGTTTCGACTTTATTGTATAAATGTCGAATAGCTTTTTAAATAAAGGTCGGCAGCAGATTTCGAAAACAGATTCGGAATCAGCGGAAAATTCTGCACAAGTCTGACTTGATCCGCTTCAAAAACACCATCCTGAGTAAAAACACTTTACAGCAAGCCTCCTCTGAATTTTCGAAGGTCTATTCAAAGTCAGGTCGGCTTTCTCCCTATCCACCAATTTCTTAGCCTAGCCCACCCGAATCGTGCTAGCTACCATCAATCTTGCCTAATTGGGGGGAGGGTGCGAGCAAATTTCCCCAATTTGCCGAGCCCAGTCCAAACTTTCGCGAGCTCGTCCTTGGGCTGATTGACAAGCGCTCCTCCTGCTCCATCAAATCTCCCCTTCTTCCTCCCCCAATTTCTATCCTTTCAGCAGGTTTTTAGATAAACATATTGGCTCTGCGGTTGATTCGACCAATAAATCGTGATTTTGCACGTATTTTCCGGATTTTTCGACAATCCACAAATCGGAATCACTGCGTAAACTGTGAGAGGTGAGAAATTTAATAAAATTGCCCAAATAAAGCCCAAATATGCAGCGGGAAAAATTAAATGAAAATTCTGAAAATTAGCAATGCGGAAAATTGATCATAAAACCCAGACAATCCATTTTAAACGTTTTTACGGGGTTATCGAATTGATCCAAAAAGTTCCCGCATTTTCACCGCTTTTTCGGGCTTTTACTGCCGCCGAGAGCGTGTGTAAGGAAAGAAAAACAATAAATCCATTCGGATCCATTCGCCAGACTAATAGATTACGCCACAAAAAAAACAGCCATTAATTTTGTGGCGCCGGCGGACTGGCCGAGGTAGACAGTTGTGCACGGCGGTGTGTAGGCACTCAAATGAGCATTTCTGAAGCTAGTAGATGACCATTAACTATGACAAAGCTGGATTTGCCCCCACTAATTTTATTTTCATTTATTCTTCAGTTTGCAAAATACATTTCTCACGTTGTCCAAGCAAAAATCAACTTTTTCTAACTGATTCTAAAATTCTTTAAAGATCTAAGCAGGTATATCGATCGAAATTATGTGTTGGAATTTGTTCTGAAAAAATTATGTTTCATATTGTCGAAATTTCGTATTGTCGAAATTGCAAAATGCCGTAATTACGTTCGTGATTTTAGAATGTCGAAATGAACAATGCCGTGTTTCATAATGCCGAAATTTTACAAAAAAAATGGCCGCAATCCTATGCAAATTTCGTCATTAGAAAAATTTCGACAATATGATTTTCATTTTAATAAATTTTGACGTGCTGCTCTTGAATCTGTAAAACCTCTCTTGTTGCTGTGAGATTCTGAAACTCACGGAATCCTCCTCCCCCTTCATGCCGTGTGCATGAGCAAGAGGATCTAGAAAGAAACACGGACTCGCCCGTCCCGGCCTAACAGTTGTGTTCAACTCCCCCCACCCGTCCTGGCTGCTCAAAACTGCCCCTCCCCTTTTCTCGAAGCTTTTGTCTCCCCGGCTTGCTTTTTGTGGGTTCGTCTCACTGTTCGGAGCCCACTGCTCCTCCTATCCTTCCGTTTTTCTCGGCGAGCTCAGGTTTCCGGCACCTCTTCTCCTCGGGCATTCTGAGTTTTAAGGAGTTTCGTTATGGTCACGTTTTGGCTTGCAAAATAGCTAAAGGATTTCACCGGTTTTCTCATGCGCCACTTCTCAAAAATTACGGAAATCCGGAAAATTCGGCTCTGAATCATATGGCCATTGAATCATAACCACTTTTTGCCGGACCCTGAAAACAATCCCCTCGTGCGCCAAACCGATTATACCCCACTTTTTGTGGGGTATTTGCATATTTTGCCGTTTTTTCGGCCGCTGCAAAATATTTTTTACAGTTTAACCTATCTGCAAATCGAGGTTTTTGCAAACGTGCGCCTTTTATCATTCATCCCCCGTCTTAAATCCATAAATCTATAAAGCATTTAGCAACCGAGCAAAATGTGTTTCACATCAGAAAAAATTTCCTTTGTTTTCTCACCCCGATTAACCCGAAACAACAAAAAGCCTCCCATCTTCCCACTTTCACCCCAAATCGGCCGCAGATCCGCAAACCATCTGTGCAATCGTTGCCGGTCCACAGACCCGCCCTCCTCCCCGTCCACCCGCAAATTGACCCCATTCCTCCGGTTCGGGCCGCCGAGAGAGAGTGGTCGTTTTTCGGAAATGGCCTCCTCTTCCTCGGCTTTATCTTCCGCCGAGTGTACGGTTTTCAAGGTGGCTCCCTAAGAAGGTTCCGCGCACATTTTACCCTCTACTTTTCCGTTAGATCCTATTCGAGTGATTTTAAATGATTTTAAAGGGCCGTGCAAGGCATGCAAAATTTTGCTATGGATTCCTGCTATGCTTTGTTGCGCAGGTGGCACGCAACGCGGACGCGCCGCATGGTCGTTGTAAAAACGTCATAATCGTTTACGCAATGGTTTGAATGGATGGCGTGTGGCGTGTCGCGGCCGAGAGGCAGCGGCACAGCTTTAACGTTTCCGAAGTAATATAGAGGCGGCATATTTTCTTTAGTTGTTTTAGTTGTGGATTCCTAATTCTTCGCTGGGACCGCGACACGCACCGACACGCTGAATCTTACATTGCGTTATCCATTACGTCTCTTTAATGGGGATCCGGTGGCTGGCGCATTGCGTGTCACGGGCGGAACAAAATCTATAGGAGGCCATAGCCGAAAAAAAATCGTTTATGCACGCCAAATCTATCGGAATCATAGCCAATAGGATCCATAGCCCTGCCTTACCAATCTCTTTAAAACACCTTGATCTTAACCTAACCACATCACTACCCCTCGGGCGATACTGTTTTCGTGGCGAGGCGCCCTTTCACGTCGATTTGTCGTCCTCTACGCCCCCTCCCACTTCCAGACCCTCACTTTTTGTGTAGACGGCCCGATTTTATCCGACTCGGCCCCCCGGTCCATCGGCCCCGCTCACCCATCGATCCGGGGCTGCCCGGCACCGTTTACAAATGGCGGTTTTGACATTTTCGTGTTGAGCTGGGGAAAGCAGCTCTTGGTCACATCATTTTTCACGGATTTTTCGTGGGCCTAAAAATTATAAAACATTGATATACATCGGGGAAAACAGCGATTTTGTTTTCAGCTATCCTAAAAGGGTTTTGTAGGCATTAATTTAGCAGGTTAAAATATTTTTCACAAATTGTCAGACCTGAAAAGCCTGGCAAACTTGGGTAAGCAGCTTATGTTTGACATTAACATATTTTTGCAATTGCATCCGGAAGCAGCCGTTTAACGGGACCGGTAAGGCTGTCGTTTCTTATTTTACTCGCGATTCCATGTTTTGACGCGTCCGCAACGCAATGGCTGGAGCTTGCGCGCTGCGTGTCGCGCGCCCGGAAAAATCCAGAACCACGAGAGGCTATCGTTACGTCTTGCCGGTCCCTTTAAACAGAAATTTTGGTTTTCCATTTTTAAATAGCCATTTTGCCGCTTTCCTACCTCGTTCTTTTAGCTAAACCAATGGAACGTCCGCGCAAATCAATTCCAGGGTTGGCATTTTCGTCCTTTCCTAGCCCCTTTCTATTTTTCTCACCCGAAAAACCCTCCTCTGCGCCCCCGCCCTCCCATGCCCATTCCCTTTTTTGGGGGTGATCAGGTTGACAGGTGTTCTCCCTGCTGGGATACACGTTTCGCAGTGTTGTATTTACTTTACAGTGCTATTGCTGCCGGGAATACCTAATATTATTTTTTGAGGCAAAGTAGTGCAGGTAAAACATGCCTTAAAATGGCGACAATATTTAGCTCATTTACTGTTAATGTGGTTTACGATTGCAGGTTTGATTAAGGTCTAATCAACGTAGCTTGTTTATTTTTCTGAAAGGATCCCGAGCAGAGAGAAGAAGATCCCGTAGTCGCGACACGCAACGCAACCAGTCTTCAGCTACGTAGCGCATTAGCGAAGTAGTGGTTGAGTTGCGTATCCAATGATTTTATCTTTTGATTCCTGCGGTATTTGCAAAAGGCTCTAGGCCAATGGCCATGATGAATGCGGCTCAGGTTCAAATTCAGATTAAACCCGGACCAAAAATACCAAAATTCCAATCGAAAATCAAATCACTCGGTCACTTTTCAAGGGTGGCTGATTCATTAACTGGTTATAGCATATCTTTCCGCGACTCACAGTTTTTCAAAGTTGTAGTTTCCGGCAAAAGAACTTGCCCGTTAAATCTAATGTAAAAATAATCTCCGAATCCCAATGAAACCAAATCAATCGGCGCACTTTTCCATTTCGCGGGTCCCCTTTTGCAACGCGCCGCGATCCCGTTCCGATTGGCGGTTATCGCTTTTATTCCCCTGTTTACGCTCCTCGAGCCCGGGGATCCATTTCGCACACAGCTCCAATACACCCAATTTGGGCACGATTTGCCGCCTATCCATCATTTTTGTGTCGTATTTACCAAAAATCCCAACGTGCTCGAAGAATTCCTGCAATTTCAGCGGTCCGCAATGCCACCAGCAACGCCAGTCGACGGGAACCGCGTAAATCATGGTTGGTATTTGGTAAAAGTATAATTTTAATGGATCTAAAATGCTACAATTTTACTTGGAGTTACTGATAAGATTTTCAGTTTTTTTTGGATTAATAGAGTTTAGTGCTGTTGTTTTAACAAAGGCAACAAATTTTCCTTAGAATCTTTTTTTTAATATAAATAGCCAAAGTCTTTGAAAGATTATTTGCTATTCGAAAATGTCGCCACCTAAAAAAACTGATTTAAACATCCAAATTCGGCGATTTTCGTCCAATTTCAAGTATTTCGACGTTCTTTAGGTGGATTTTTCGCATGAGATACTGTCAGATTTTAATAAAACCTATTGAAGCCCTTACTGTTGCATTACTAGACATTTATAAAACTATGTTTCATCACCCCCGATAGTGCGAAAGAACCTACGGCCATGGTCGTCGTCGGACTAAAAAGCTTTTGATAGTAAATACCATTTAAGTGCATAGCTACTATCCTTGAAGTTTGATCTGGAATACAGCTGTTTTATTTATCCAACGTTTCGCATTATAGGCCACACTAAATCGATATTTATTAAATTTAATAACTAGGAAAAAGGTGTTTTTTCCAGGATTCTAAACTTTCGTGACTACACTAGTATTTTGTTCTACCTTAGCCTTCCTGTTGCATGTTACTTGAGTCTATTTTTTCACGGTTGACACGTGACAGCAAAAAGTAGGCCCCCATCCGTTGCCACCCGCAAGCGGAACATTACAACCCAGCTGATAAGCCCGGCGACAAACAGGGCCCAGCAGGGGAACGGACACCTTTTTTTTGAGGCGGGGATTACTTTTTGGGTACAGCTGACGAGGTGTAGAAATCATGGAGCGTGGCCAAAATTCCATGAGCTTCGAGAGAAAGATTCTTCATGATAAACCAAATATGGATGGAAATGCTTGGCTTGAGGGTTCCATTGAAAGACCAGGCAAATCAGGAACCTTTTTGAAGCTGCGTATAAGTAGGAGACAGATAACGAAGTATAAAATTTCAAAAGGTCGCTAAATTCGTTAAAACACTAGTTGCGCAAGGCTTTTGATGTTTACTGTTCGTTTCAGAGCTGGACGAAATTTTTTTGCCTGGTTTTATTGGATACAGATTGCCGATTAAAAAGTCCTATATACAAATTTTTGGGCTTGACACTTTATAAAAATCTAGTTTGAAAGTCGAAAAAGGGAGACATTACTATAGGGTGGGTGAACCTGTTGATCGAGTCGGTGGACGTGCCCTTGGATGGGGACGGTTCGCTGCTCTTCTCCACTGTACAGTCGCTGATCCCCGGAGCACATGGGCTGTACTTCAGGGATAATGGGCAGAGGAGGGCGCTCAAGTAGGGATTTAAAGTTTACGGCACGTTCTTATACTTTTTAAGGTTTGCATTTTGTTCGGTTTCAGCCTCGACGCCAGCTCCGGAAAAGTCCTCTCTCCGCTCGACGGTTGGGGCCGACAAGACGTTTACGTACACTTGGGTACGTTTGAGTATGATTTACCTTTGATGTTAAGGTTTCTTGGAGAGCTTTTATTTTTAAGAAAAAGGGGAAGCTGTGAGTCCGATTTAAAAAAAAAAAAATGATAAAGAACGCGCCTTAATGATCCCTTTAAAATTGAATTTTAGCACATGGTCACCGCCATGGCGTCAACTGTGGAACCCAGGGCGAGTACACCAAGGCTTCAGAGATCTTTGAGCGCAATTTGACGGCTGTACAAAAGTTGATCGGTAGAGAGAAATGTTTGAATTTATTCAATTCGGTATTTTAAGCCCAGACCGGCCTCGGCCTGCTCAGAAAACCGAAACCGGATGCCGAAAAGACCGATAAAACCAGCCCAAAGCGCGTGAAGCCCAAGCCCGGGTTCGAGGCGCAACCGGAGGAGACCCATGTTTCTGATGAGGTGATTCTTGAGATAACCTTCATCTGATTATTTTTTTAGTAAACTTGGAGGATTATTCTATCTATTACCAAATGACCTGAGCTTTGTTTAGAGTGAGCATGATGTACATAGACTCCTGGCCAAGAAAAAAAAGGAGCTCGAGCTGGCGGCGGCGGAGAAGGAAAAGCTAGCAGAGAGGTTTGTCAATTCTCATAATCATCGTTTTTCTTTTAAAAAATACGAAATTTCTAAAATATGGCAACGCTGAGTTTTGCCTATTACCATCAATATTCAATCTAAATTTTTTCAGACTTCAACAAGCTGAGGATGAGCTCCAGATCGCGAAGAAGGAAAACGAACAACTAAAGAACTCGCTGCACGAAGCCACTTCTCAAGGGGCACCGGAAATTACCATGTAAGAGATGGACCTAAATAAGACAAAAGAAATTTTTCTAGCAGCCCAACCGGCTCCAGCTCGTCGGTGGACAAGAAGCGCAAGGGCAAGAAGGGCAAGGTGAGGTCTTTACCGAGTTTTTGACCTCGGATGACGGAAGACTTGATCTCGATTCTGATAAGCTACATTTTTTCAGGTATCCGACGACCAGAACCAAACCGCCCTCCAGCAAATTCAGCAAGAACTAGAGGCCGAAAGGCACCGTAGTCAAGATTTGGAGTCGCAGCTCGCCTCTTCTTCCACAGCCCAGAACCAGGCGCAATCGATGATCGTGAAGCTCCAGTCCGAGTTAGACGCCGCTCAGAAAAAGTGAGGAATTCGGAGCTTTATCTTTCCATTTTGCTATGTTTCCTCTCTTTCTCCTTCTATCTCTCTCGCTCTCTCTCGAATTTTGTTCTCTCGTCCTGTAAATCCCCTAAAACAGATGTGCCGATTGGGAGGCCCAGGCGGAAAGTCTACAAACGGAGCTCTGGTCCGAGCGCGAGCAGCATGACTATAAGTAGGGGAAAATCCCGCGTGACATTAACAGTTTTTTTATGGAATTTCAACAAGCATGGGTTAAAAAACTTCATTTCTAAAACGATTTCCATCTTTCCAGAATCCAAGAGCTTATCGAGAAGGAGGAGGAGATGAAGTGAGTGGATTTAAAAATTACCCTTAAATTAGTATAGGATATTTCTACAATTTTTCGTGAATTTCATGCGGTTTGTTTCAAAAGCAGGCTGAACTTTTAGCAACCTCCATAACCTCATAGCCGATTTACGTCGTAAATTGGCGCAAGTGGAAAAGGAGTGTAGCGAGGTGCACTCGCACTTGGCGACCGCATTCGAAAAGTAAACTTGGTGGCATGAGAGTTGCAATTCTGGATGCATTGAAAATTCAGTTCTTCGCTAATCAGAGTCGTTGATCGCCAGAATTTCTAATTTTTCTGGCGACTCACGTTTTTCTCTATTTTTCTATTTTCAGGATATCTCTGCTCGAAAAACGAGGCCCGAAGGCAGAGGAGGTAAGGCACTAGTACAGTTCAAAGTCCTGATTCTTCTAGTACGAAAAATTCGCGCTGGCCAACGAGAGGGTCGGTGAGCTCGACCAGACAATCACCAAGCTGCAGCTCGAGCTGACTGATGCCAAGGAGAGGCTGGGGTAAGGGTGTGAAATCATACTACAGGGTGGGCCAAGCAAAAAGTACACAGTTTGGGTCGAAATAACTCGCGAACGGTAGAGAATCGAAGGTACGTTGCCATGCCGGAATGCTTAAATATGCTGGGTATGAAGATTTAACACAACTTGATTTTTTCGATTTTTGGTGACGTATCAATACAAATGACACCCGAAAACTGTGCGATCGGGGAAACTTCATTTGTATTTTTCTCAGTTTCCTGTGGTGGCTGGCATTTAATTTTTATTATGGAAGTTAATACTAGCAGCAGATATGTACCTACAAAATTTAAGAATTTTTGAGGGTCTGGTTGAAAAGTTAGAGAGGAATCAAATTTTGTATGGGGAAATTTCGTAAATTTTTAATATTGGAAAAACCTATGGCGAAAACCTCAAAATCAGTTGTTGTGGAATACCTACGGGCTTGACACAATCGCATAAACATATTAAAGAATTTTTTGAGATCGATGAATTTTCGAGTTTTTCAACGACCCCCTGGTCATGGATATTTTCGAGCTTACGAAACCGAACTTTAGAAAAATATTTTTAAATTGCCAAAGGGGACTCAGCTTATTTCTTTGCTTAGCTAAGTAGTTCTGGGGTTGATCTATCATCTACAAAATTTCGAGCCACCGTACCCCTTTCGAAGGGCGTCTTTTAGGGCCTCCAAAACGGTTGGTTCATGCTTTTTTCCGAATATTGTCGCCATTTTATAAGATTTAATCGCGCTGTGAAAATTATCTTTTTATTTTTATCTGATACCATTTGAATAACGCATCCTAAAGCTAGTTTCATGTATTTTTTTAACCAGCCTTTGGCGCGGGCAAAATTCACCAAAAACCGAAATAAACCGAATTCGATGGGGCGTAAAAACTTTTTGGAAGGTGAAGTCACCAGGATGTTTTGAGAATTAATTTTGCATAACCAGTTCAATAAAACTATGCAAAGACTAAAACAATTTCACGTCGAAAAAAAATTAAGAAGAATTTTAAACTTGGATTTCGGAACAGGGTGATTTTTGGTTTTGAGCTGAAAGCCACCATCATTTTGAATCAGATTGCTCCCGAATTTGACAGGCGTAAATTATAACATTAAAGCTGTAATCATATCCATAAGACCCAGCTGGTTTTTTTATTTTTAAAAATTCGAAAGTTGACCCGGCTACTCGGACCCAAAATCGGCTCTCTGGCCTATTTTGCACTTGGCCTCGTAACTTTGTTATTTACCACCGAAAATCAGTAATTTTTGACAGGCTATCTTACAATCCACTCTAGACGGTCCTCGAATAGAAAAATCGTCAATTTATGGAATTTTGCGATATCATGCTAAAACGCGCTCCATGGGGGTTACTGTAGAAAACCGAAATTCGCGATTTTCGTGGTGTTTTTGCATGGAATCGCTTCAATCTTTCGGTAAAAGCAATAGTAACAGTTTTTGGTACAACTGACCGAAAAATTTACAAGATTCTGTGGCAGAATTAAAAAAATCAGTTTTTAGTCTTTTTCATGAAAGTTTGTGGATAGTACGCTCTCGTATTTGGCAGCAAGGTGCCACAACCGATTGCCTAACAACCCTGAAAATCTTAGTCGGATCGAAGCTAGGGGTCCGGAGAAAAGCGGGAAAAACGAAACCTACAGTACCCCGCTGGGGCACGTTTTAGCAAGCAATATAAAAATACCATAGATTGTGGTGGAATTTGGTGTGGAATCCGAGATTAATATTTGGATAATTCATTGGCAAAAAAAGCAGCGATGGGCAGTGAGTTATAAGCGAGTTATCACTTAAAGAAGAAAATAACGCAAAATCGCGAAAATTGTTTTGTTTGTAAAAAATGAAATAGACCTCGAAAAATTCTAAGACTTTGCTATTACCTTTCTACAAATTTATACTATTTTTGGGCCAAAAATCAGAATTTTTCCACCACCCATTCCAGAACGCACAATTTTCGGTCGTAATTGTACAGTTTCGTACTCAAAAATCGAAAAAATCAAGTTGTGTTAAATCTTCATACCCAGCATATTGAAGCATTCTGGCATGGCAACGCACCTTCGATTCTCTACGGTTCGCGAGTTATTTCGACCCAAACTGTGTACTTTTTGCTTGGCCCACCCTGTACAGGACAGACCAAGTTTTTCGCCACAGTAGCTAGCTAGCCTAGCGAAAATATAATTCTTTTTTCCGTGATTTTCCAACAGTGTTTTGGTTATTTCTTTAAGTTTTCACGAATTTGCATCGTTGTCCCTGAACTTGCCCAAACGACGCCAACCTTTGCTCTGCAAAAATCGCTAAACTGAGCGTTTATTTGATCCATTTGCCTCCAGAAAAAATTTCCTGGGCACCAAAAATTCTCGAAAAAACCCTTCTTTGCAGTCAACAAGTCGGAAAGGACGATCTGATCGGCCGGCTCTACGATGAGAAGGACAAGCTGCAGTGGAAGATCGGCGAGCTGACGCAGTGGTGGAATGACTCGAAGTGGAAGTAAGGATTAAACCCTGAGATTTTGGAAACAACAACCGCTGGAAGACACGAAAAATCGATTGTTTTTGCAACACTTGTTGACCTCGACTGCGATTAAATCGAATTGACAGTCCAAGGACTTGCCCCGTGATCGTTATCATCCGAAAATCAAATTAGGCACGCCGGGTTTGTTTCTAAACAACAACATATCCTGGAAAATTTATTGATTCTGTTTACTCTGCTCTTGATCGTATTTGTATGCCTATTAATGTTAAATTTCCAGGATCGGTGAGCTCGAACAGTCGCTCGAAAAGCAGAAGGAGGAGCTGAAGGTCGCCCAGAACAACTTTACGCAGATCATGGAAGAGTGAGTTCTAGCTCGGAAGTTTGATATATGTATTTAAGGAGTCGCAACGTAACGCCAAGCGGAATTAATGAAGCTATAGTACAACCGAATACCAAGGCGGCTTTCTCAGTGAATCGTCACCCAAATAGTGATCGTTGGCAGTTGCAGTCTTATATTAGGTAAGAAAAAGCTATTCGCTTTCTCTCTCTCACTCTCGCTCCCTCTCTCTCGCTCCATCTCTCTTTCTCTCTCTCTCCCTCTCTCTCTTTCTCTCCCTATCTACTAATCCAGGGTTATTCCCTTTTTAGTGAACAGCAACAATGCTACGGCCAACCTGCTCCTCCTCCAGCTCCTGCTCACCCCCAGTTCTCCTACCCAGCTTACCCGGTGCCGATGCCTATGCCCTATTTCTACCCCCCTTACGGATACCCTGCATTCCCAGCCCCACCCCAGCTGAATGACACCAAGAAAGTGCTGTTCGAGATCGAGGCCCCGGAGGCGAAGACCGTTTTCTTGGCGGTAATCAATTATTCAAGAAATTTGGAGTACAAATTATAGGGTTCATTCTTGAACTGGGAAGTTGCCCTCCTGTGTCGACCCCTCGGAACTGGACGTCATGGTGTATCGGTGGACGTGCCGAGGGGACAGTATGACTTCAAGTGGGTTTGGAGAGAAAGATTGAGAGACAGAGGCAGAGAAAGGGGAGAGATAAAGAGCGTGCGAGCGAGCGAGAGATCGGGAGAGCCACAGAACGCGAGAGAACGGGAGAGAAAGTGAGAGATTGAGAGAGAGACAACGGGGAGAGAGACCGAGAAAGAGAGCGAGAGAGCGAGAGAGATAGAAAGCAAGAGAGAAAGAGAGAGAGAGAGAGAGCGAGAGAGAGTGAGAGAGAGCTACAGAAATAGAAAGGAAACAATTCCATCGTTCAGATTCCTTGTCGACGGTGAATGGCGAGCCTCTCAATGCTACCACATCTCCAACAACGAATATGGCTCCCTTAACAATAGCCGAACCGTCGAATAATCGTTCATTTCCCCATTTTTAAGTTTTACTTTTTGTGCATTTGTCTTCTAGTTTGTAGCCGGTTAATTTTATAGTTTCCACCGATACACAGGTCCACACACCAATCCCCCGAAAAATTGACTAGCAGTTGTGAGTATTTTGGATTAAGATTCTTCAGATGATTTTTTCTAAAATTCTTGGAAATTAGCAATCCCCCGTCTTGCCGTCCTGTACACAATTTGGGTACGTTTCATTGACACTGGTTTTTGTGGTAAATAAAGCTGTTTTTAAATAATTTGATGCCGACACTGTGACACTCTCTCGCACTCGCTCTCTCTCTCTCTCTCTCTCTCTCTCTCTGTATCATTTCCCGGAAAGCCGCTCGATTGCTTGGACCGTTCCACCCGGCTGACCAAGTGAATCCGCAATTTTTCCAAGAACCAAGTTGTTTTCAAGAATTTCAATGGTTACTTCTGTTCATATAAGGGTGGGAAGCGGCTTTGGCGTAGTAAAATTAAAAGTAATCCAAGTATCCAAGATGAAGATTCTGTTCATCATGCTCCTGATCTTGGCCGGTATCGCTGGTAAGATTGCCTTATTCACAGAATCCCGATTTTAAGCGTTAGCCAAAGCTAAAGCCCAATTCTAACCTATCCTAGAGCCTGAATTAAAGCTAATTAAATACCAATATCTTTTAGTCGACACGGTTTCCGCAAATACGAGAATGCCGGAATGTGACTGGACTTGCCTCGACGTAAGTTACGAGAGATAGGGAGAGAGACGGAGAGAGAGAGAGAGAGAGAGAGTGAGTGAGAGAGAGTGAGAGTGAGTGAAAGAGAAAAACACAACGACAAAAATTAATTCATATGTTCAGAGCGGCGCTCGTGATACCTGCTGTCGCGCTCGCGGCTACGTCGATGGCGCCTGCATCATACGCCCCGGCAGCGGATGGGGAGTTGTCTGCGACGGATTCTCGGGATAATGCAAAAATTTTTAATTTTATAATGAGTAAAATAATAAATTATGCTGAAATTTTCCTGCGTCACTCATTGTCACATTGAAGATTGCGCCTAAATCGTTTCATACATCTCAGCATACAAATGTCTGGAATAGCGCTAAAATGAAAAAATTTGCATAGTGAAAAAGGATGACCAGTTTCTCCAAATTTTTGAATTTTTGAAAAATTTTGGAGTTAGATTGCGCATTCGATGGAGCAAAACTCTCTGAACACGACTTTTTTTGTCAAAACACGACGGAATTCCAAAATTTTGCGTTGACGCAAACTGTATTAAGAAAATGCCTGGGAACACGCTTGCCAATCAGAATCTCGAATTACAAAATCTCGAATGACAAAATCTCGAATGACAAAATCTCGAATGATTAGAATCTCGAATGATCAGAATCTCGAATGAACAAAATCTCGAATGAACAGAATCTCGAATGATTAGAATCTCGAACGATCACAATCTCGAATTTACAAAATCTCGAATGACCGAATCTCGAATGACAGAATCTCGAATGGTCAAGATCTCGAATGAACAAAACTTCGATTCAGCAGAACACAGTTTGGATGAAAATTTCCACTAGCCTACTAGTAATTGAACCCAAACTTTTTGCTATGGAGGTTTTGGCATCAATAGCTGTAGCAACACTATCTAAAAGTTAAAGACTGAAAGAATTTGAGCCTTTTGCGTCGAAAAAAACAAATTTTTCGACTTAACGACAAATTGCTCTTCATTATCATTTGTAAGGTATGATGCTCAACAAGGACCATCCCTCGGCAGGGCATACTCACAGCCTACTAGCTTCTATCTAATACAAAAAATCGATGCTGGATCGAGCCAGACGAAACTAGATTAGGATACATTGGGAATCCTGGCATTCGAGATTTGTTCATTCGAGATTTTGTCATTCGAGATTCTGTCATTCGAGATTTTGTAAATTCGAGATTCTGATCGTTCGAGATTCTAATCATTCGAGAATCTGATCATTCGAGATTCTAATCATTCGAGATTCTGATCATTCGAGATTCTGATCATTCGAGATTTTGTCATTCGAGATTTTGTCATTCGAGATTTTGTAATTCGAGATTTTGTCAAACTACCGGGAACACAAATAAATTTACAAATAAAACTAATATTCACACCTCACATTTAGTGCAATTTCTATAGATTGACGTCTAGACTGTCCCCAAAAAATTCGATCCTCGACCGGACCGGAGAAGTGTCCGATTTTTACGATTTAGGTTTCTACCGAAGGCTCTCGGCAAGGAATGAAAAATAGCACTTTTCGTTTTGCAATAAAATCATTTTAATTCACGAATTTTAGTGCAAAAATTCATAAAAGGTTGCAAATTGCTTGCTGAAGCTAACAGGACGACACTGGTTTAACGCTTTTTTTGAGAAGGCACGTAATATCGAAAGCGGGCCAAAATAATTTGCAAAACTAAAAAACGCTTTTTTTTCTCGCCGTTTCGAGGGCTTTCGAATGAAATCATCGCAATCCGAGCTTTCATCTGAGCGCTAGAGGGGGTCGACTCTTTTTTGGGCCACCCCAGATGTTACATAGCTATTTTCCAGCTGATTCAAAAACACCTCCCCTGTGAGCCTGTTACTGCCATATACCAAGGCCGGTGAGTGCGAACGGGGGATCAAGTCCTACAGTCTGGCCGGATAGTGAGAGAACCGATCTCCTTTCCAAGAAACTCTTTGGTCTATTCCGAGAACGGCAGTTCAATTCCGACAACAAGGGGGCGGAGCGTAGGCGTATAAAAGCGAAACAAATAATTTTTAGGTATCAGCTATTCCTGAGACACTCATCATGAAGTTCTTTATCGCCCTCCTGCTCGTCTTCGCCCTGGTTGCCGGTGAGTATAATAAGGCGTGCCGGGTACAGCTGTGCAGTGTTTTCAGCAATTCAGAAAATTGCGTCAGAGCCTAGACTATCTTGTTCAAAAAAAATTGCTGATTCCGAGCCTGTTTTCCTAATTACCGTAGGAGCCCGATTTTGAAAGTCACAGCCGTTTAGAGCAACTTAAAATTGTTTATTTTGGGCTGACATTAAAATAATGAAAACGGCTCCTTGGACTCCCACGCCAAAATTGCAGGACAGGTTCCGAATCGACAAAAAATTCGGCATAAAAACCCTCGGAAAATTATGTTTTAGTCCAAATCGAGGCTCGCTTCTACGCCGTCTGCGACGACCCCTGCAGGGTAAGCTTAATAGAAAGTATCTCGATTAATAAGCTCTTTTAGACCGGGGGAGCCGTTGATACGTGCTGCCGTGTGCATGGATTTGGCGATGGAGCCTGCAGCGGAGATTCGGCCATTTGTTTCTAGTTCTTGCCAGATTCTGGTCCTCTACAATCCGCTGCCGGAGAAGGTGGTCTTTTTCAAATAAAAGGCTTGCTTTTTTATCAAATGATGAACTGAAAATACACGGAAATGCCCTGATCGAATGAATAAAATACAATTTATACCGTAAATTGAGATCCCGGCAGTATCGGCAGTGCTCGACAAAGTATTTTCCGCCAAAAAGTTAATGATTTTGATCAAAATTTAATAGCTAAAAACGCAAAGAAGAGTGGTGAAGTGTAAATAAAAATTTGCTATTGCTATTCGCGTAAACGTTACAATTATCCCCCGAACGATCGAGCCGGTTGGAAAGAAAGAAGAACGAGGTAATTGAAAGAAAAAATCCTAAAAGGTTTGATAAAAAGATAAGTAAAAGAAGAAGTAAGTATGCCCAGGAAAATCTTCATCTGTAGCGACGGAATTCTCATCTACATTCGAGTGCACTTCATCCCGCTCCAGCGATCCAGTTGACACACGACCGCTATCACGCTCTGCAACAATGGTAAATGTGATTCTAATATTGATTAAAGGGCCTGGCAAGTGAGGGCAAAGTTTGGGTTTTTTGCGGGAAGGAATCCTTATGGGTTTGGCCGTAGGACGTATGATGCTGAAACAGAATTTTTTACTTTTCATTTGTCATTGTTACTTCTTAAAGGCAATTGCCAAACAAAATTATTGGGGGAGGATTCTAATAGCGGAAAGATCTATCTTAGAGGAAATACGCCACACGACATATTTACGTTCAAGCAATTATCGGGAACGTTTTCGGAAGACGTAAACACAAGAAAAAATCTGGTACAATGGATCTCACAAAACCTTTCAGCAGACGAAAAAGCAAAAAGCTTTGCGTTCGGGGGGAATCGAACCCCCGTCGAATGCTTGGAAGGCATCCATGCTGACCATTACACCACGAACGCACGTGGGTAGATGGGAGAGGCGAGGGATATGAAGGGTTGCTGGCGCCCGGCTCCGGTTTTGGCTTGAGTGGCGCCGGAGCTGCCTAGCAGCCCGTTGGTGGCGCTCACACGCGAATCGCTCTTCCGGATCGTGCAAGCTTAGTAAAAATTTCCACAATCCTAAATTAAGCCAGCTGATTAAATCAGATAAAGGCAGCATTTCCCATTTAGATTTACCATCTTACACGTTTAAATTCTAACATAGCTCGAAAGTTATTTGAGGGATTTCTGAATTCTTCCAGTAACCGGTTCAATCAATGATTTCCAGAGCCAGAACTTTTCCACGCTATCAACGTTTTTCGAAGGCACCAGATCGGAACGGTTATCCTTTCACGGCGGAACAGCAGAAAAGTCATTGGTCCGACCAAGCGAACTTCCATCTTGAAATGAGCTTCTTCTTGCCAATACTTTTCGTGCTTGCCATCGTTTGTTGTGAGTTTCCTGGTATATTTCAGTGTTCACCTGACGACGTAGCATAATGTTGTGTATAAAATGAAAAATTTAGGAATGACGATACCTTTTATTTTACATGAAATGTTACCATCGGCCCCCATCAAACCCTCGGCTGATGTCGGCCAAGTAGGTCCTTCTTAGAAATCGCTTTGAAAAAGAAATTTGTTGATTGTACCGTTAAGGAAAGTAGCCAATAATTTCTAACCGGCTGGAGCGATAAAAGCAACATTTCAGATTATTGTTCGACGATACATAAGCCCTAAAAATGCTAGCCAATGGGAACCCCTTATGGACCCCTGAACTCCAATAAATTCTTCGGATAAAAGATAATTGGAAAAACTCATGAATAAACGATAATAATAAGATTAAGCAAGAATAACATCGACCCGATTCTGTTCGGAATTTTGGGCGACCCGTATCTTGCACCTATCATCCTTCGGTCCTACTCAATTTCCTTGCCAGCACCGGGGTTTTTCTTGCAAGCACCGGGTAAATTTTCCCGGAACGAAAGGGGCGTTTTTTGGTGCATTTCCTGGATGCGCACGCGGTGAGCGGCACCCTTGCGATATAAATACCGAATTACCGGGTTCGATATCAGTTCGGAACGCCAGCAGTTCACACTGAAAATGAACTTCCTCCTCGCTGTGCTGCTCGTGTTTTCCCTGGTTTTCAGTGAGTCCTGTTAAAATTTAGATGAATTGACGTCTAAAACAATATGATTTAAATTTAACGATGTTTTCAGCGGAACTCATCTTGGCCCATCCGTGTGGTAGCTACTGCATCGTAGGTTTTTATGCAGATTTTTCGATTTATGCGATTTTTCGATACTTGAGTGGTTATGTGGCTTAGAAGCTATAAAAATAATTTTATAGAAAAATGTAAAAACCCAGATTCTTTATATCATTATCTTTAGTTTAACGACGCTGTGGACTCGTGCTGCCGCAACAACGGCTATTCTGGAGGATCATGCATGGGCGTCTGGGCCAAGTGCTTCTGATTTTGACCTGCTGATGAAGGATCCGCTTTCGTATAAACGGCTTATTACATTTTATGCTTTCCCGGGCGATTTTAGGGTTTATCGAAAAACCAGATGGTTCCAGTCGCTTCGCGACTGTAACCATCTGGCCTTCGGGCTACCCTTCATGCAATCCACTTAAAAAACTACTTCGATACCTCCCTGGTGGCTTTAGATACCCCCATGGCTGAAATCCCCTTCA